CTATCGTTTCGAGTGTTTGGATTATGAGGTATATCGTATGATTTCACCTGAGGTTGCAAGTATGGGTTATTACAGCTGGTTCGGGTTTATTCTGGGTATAGATGTGAGGTTCTGATATTGTGTATGATTTTGGAAAGTGCAATGTGGTTCTATGGTTTATGGTTTAAATGGACTGTGAGATTTCGGCTATATTGTGTTGTCGGACATATATGAGATAGGGTGACGGGAGATCACCCCGGGTATATGCTTGGTAAAGTTATTCAGCTGTTGGTTAGCTTCTAGGACAACTCTGGGTACGCTCGAGGACAAGCGTTGGTTTAAGTTGGGGAGGATGTGACGACCCGACCCGTCGTCCCATGTATTACAGCCCCGTTTTCCCCATTTATTGCTTCTTCATGTTTCATTATCAACAACGAGTGAGTTATAGTTGAATTGAATTGGTTTGGATAGGAAATGAGACACTTAGTCTCTTTAAGGAAGGCTTAAGTTGGAAAGGTCAACCGGACGTTGAATTATGAGTTAGAAGGCTCGGATGTGATTTCCGGTGATTCGGTTAGCTTCGGGGGATGATTTGTGACTTGGGAGTGCGATCGGAATTGATTTTGGAGGCCCGGTGTAGAATTAGGCTTGAATTGGCGAGGTTAGTATTTTGGCGAATTCCGGTGGATGGGTGAGAATTTGATCCAGGGGTCGGAATGGAATTCCGAGAGTTGCTGTAGCTTCGTTAAGTGATTTTGGATATGTGTGCAAATTTTCAGGTCATTCGGACATCGTTTGGTCGGGTTTCTGATCGAAAGTGTATTTCGGAAATTCTTGAAGAACTTAGGCTTGAATCCGATGTGAATTGATGATTTTAGTGTTGTTAGGTGTGTTTTGATGATTGGAGCAAGTTCGTATGATGTTTTAAGACATGTTGGTGCTTTTGGTTGAGGTCCCGGGGGCCTCGGGGTGATTTCGGATGGCTATCGGGATGAAATTCAAGTTGAGGAAATGGCAGATTTTGCTCTGGTATGTTCGCTTCTGCGGAAATGGACCGCATAAGCGGTTCCGCAGAAGCGTAATCTTGGTCGCAAAAGCGGTCTGGAGTGGAGTTGGGCAGTTCCGCAGAAGCGGAACACTTTTCGCTTAAGCGAGTCCGCAGAAGCGGACAGGCGGTCGCAGAAACGGGTTTGGCCAGGAGGTGAGCTTCCGCAGAAGCGGAAATTTGTGTCGCAGAAGCGGCCCTTGAGTTTTAATGAAATTCCGCATAAGCGGACAAAAACCGCAGAAGCGATTGCGCGAAAGCGGGCGTGGGGACCGCAGAAGCGGAAACCCCTGAAGCCAGTAGGAGTTTTATATTCATTTTGTTCCGCGAGGGTTATGTTATTTCCACCATTTTTAAGCGAGCTTGGGAGCTATTGGACGGAATTGAAGGGGGATTTCGACTAGGTGTGATTGGAGGTAAGTCCCTTGGCCTAAATACATGGAACTTTGATAGATTTANAGGGATTTCGCCGGTTCGAGGTGAGTAATACTTGTAAATGATATCCTGAGGGTTTGAAACCCCGGATTTGCACATCATAGTGCTGTATTATGGTGACTTGCACGCCAGGTATGAGCGTGGGGTAGAACACCGTTGGGGATTGTGACTTGGTCCATCCCGGTTGTTGATTTTACTGCGTAATTGACTGAAACCTACTTGATGCTATCGTGATTTGGGTTGATTGCCATGTTTTGGGCTTCGTGCCGATTATTTGAATCCTTTAGGGATTATTATCACTGTTTTCATGACACTTAGCATATTATATGATTTTAGTCCTGAGTTAAACCCTGTTTTGAAATATGCAGTCATATGGCTAAAGTTTAAAGACTTAAATTGCATTTTTCTGATGTTTTGAGTTAAAAGCTATTACTTGACATTGCCCGAGTGGCTCATTTGCATGTTCTGGACTGAGGATGGATCGGGCTGCACGCCGCAGCGATGCTATGATGATATTGCGCTTGGGCTGTAGGAGCCCCTCCGGAGTCTGAACCCCCACAGTGAGCGTGGGTACCCAAATGGATCGGGCTGCGCGCCGTAGCGGTCATATGCATTGCATTGCATTCATGCATTGGTTCCTGTTTGCAATACGTGTCATGACATTCAGCACTCTCATTTCATTGGCATTCATGCTACATCTTGCACTTTTACCAGACGCCCTGATGTTAATTGTTAGTGGAGTGCTGTGCCCAAGGGGCTGACTTATGTGCGAACTTGCACTATCTGATTAGGCATTCATTTGCTTGACTGTTGGAAAAGGATATTTTCAAAAGAGGTTTTTAAACTGAGCCAGATATTTTCTAAAGGATTTTTTTCACGGTTTTACTGTTTTCTCAAAGGGTTGTACTGTCCTATATAGCATGATGGAGTGCTCTTACGTGATTTCTTGTCTCTCAGTTATTATTTACTCTTATTACCACTGAGTTGGAAGTACTCACTTTACTCCATGCACCTCGCGTGCAGTTGCAGGTATCATTCACCCGGTAGCGGGTTATTAGCTGATTGAAGGTATTACTATTGTAGCTGAGTAAGGTGACCGCCAGCGTTCGCGGCACCGGACGTTGTCTTTAGCATTCCAGAATTTATTTTTGTATAATATTGGCCCTGTAGTTGTGTTCAGGTTTCTTTAGATGCTCGTGACTTGTGACACCCCGGTCGGGTTGTATTGGGTTGTAAATACTGGTTATTATTGTCGTTAAGCAGTATTTATCTATTCATTTATGTGTAAAAATTGTTAAAGAGACGATTTGGGTTAGTTGGCTGGCCTTGTCTTCACGAGAGGCGCCATCACGACCGGGTTTGGAACTTGGGTCGTGACAGTTAGGTCTCCATTAGTGTTGTTGTCCCGACCCTTGGTAGTTTTGTCTTTGATATCCTCCCTGTGAATTGTTAACATAGTTGCTTCTTCGTATTGCATTGGAGGATAGTCTTGTTGTTGGCTTTCTTGATGTTGATAGTTAGCATTTGACATTGGTTGTACTTCTTCCACAACATTCACTTTCTTTGTTTGGCTTTCCGGGAACATTTTTGTCAACACATTGACATTGGTAGCAAGCCCGGCAATCAATTGATCTCTTTCTTGATTTTCCTTGACCATGTTGGTCAAAGAAGAGGTACCATATGAGACTCCACCCACGGTGTCGCCCGAATGCCAAGCTTGGTTGTGTTCCGCCACCTTGTCGAGGATTTGAGTGACTCTTGCAAATATTTTGTCCATGAACGATCCATTAGCCGTATTGTTGGCTACGGATTAATTCATAGGATCCAGGTGTGTATAACTTCTCCAACAAAATATTTTCTGAAAACCCATGATTTGGTGATCTCACCAAATACTGCTTGAATCTAGCCCATGCTTCAATGTAGTTGTTCCCCTGGTAATTGCTTGAAGAAGAAAATTTTGTCCCGAAGTTCGTTCTTGCTTTGTGGGAACCATTTTCTAGGAAGACATGCACAAGTTCGGCCCAAGTGTGGATGGAGTTAGGAAGTAGATGGTGAATCCATTGCCTTGCCTCTCTGGCTAAAGAGTATTTGAACATCCTCAACCTTACGACATCATCCGAAACATGATTCTGCTTATGCATTTCACACACACCCAAAAAAATTTTGAGGTGTTAGGATTAGGCTATGTTCCACTTTGAAGGTAGCCGCGTCCACTCTAGGAAGGACAATGGTGTTTGTATCATCAACATACTCATTCTCATCCGCAAACACATTCCCCCGCTCGCCCATGCTTGCCTAGTGACACCAAACAAAACAAGCAAAGTGTGATGGAACAGAAAAAGATGTAAAGTAAAGCGCACACAAGTTAGTAATTTCAAAACCGTACTCCCGGGCAACAACGCCAAAATTTGATACGCCCAATTACACTTATATAAATTGTGTAAAGCAATCGATGTCAAATATAACCACCCAACTAGATTGGGGTCGAACCCTACAAAGAATAGGTTTGAAAAGGTTACTTGAATAGTGTGTCACTTGACAAAAGCCGTAATTCTACTCTGTTAGTTTGTAAAGAGTTTGGTAATTGTGAATTGTTAAGAGAAGCTATTTTGTTAAGAGAATTGATTAATTGGATTAAGAAACCAAGGTTGTGTCCCATTCTATGGAAATTAATGCTATCGGTGTTAATATGATATATTTCTAATGGGATGTCCTTTGATATGCAAATGGTTCCTAAATGACTACCCAATATTTTCCAATAGTTAGGTAATATTTCCTCTTTATGATTTTCCCAAATATAAAAGAGTTACAATTAAGAGCAACCAATTTATGCCAAGCAGAACTCACTTATTCCTAAGCGAATCTAGTAAACACGGTTTAAAGCCTTGAGTTCTTGCTATTCAATTCTACCAAATCCTAACCCACTTTTCCAAGTGAAAGATTAAGTAAATTGGCACTAGTTAATGTTTGCAACCATCAACATAAATGAAGCATAAGAAATGAATAGAAATTAACCATCCATTATATATATACTCAATGGTAAACACGCATTAATATTACACCTACTTAGGGTCCACAACCTTAGTATTTAAAGCTAGCTACTCATAGTAAAATACAAGAACAAAGAATTAAAGAAAGTCATAAAAGCTTACAATGAAGACAGTCTTGGAAGCTATCCAAAAAGCTCCAAAATAAGTGGTGTATTCAATACTCTCAATGTAGGACCTTTTTCAGACAAGATGTCCCACAAAAACCCTAGTTATTCTATTTATAATGGCCCAAATGTCACGAACGAAATGTGACAAAAATAGCCCTTCAAGTTAGTATGCGATCGCAGAATGGACCGCAAAAGTGATCCGCGGTCCACAAAATCGTTGCAACACCGCAGATCTGATCTTCAGCACTTCCAGATTTCCATCGCATATCAGTTACTGGGAATCGCATAATCATCACTTTGGATTACTGGGAATTTTTCTTGCATTTGTGCGGCAATTCTGTAGTCCGCACAATGGTTATGCGACTGCATATTTGACTCTTAAAACTGGGCTGGTCTGGTTGCTTCCGCGATAGAAATGCGGCTCGCACATCACTTCTGCGACTGCATCTGTCGCAAATCTGATTTCTTCATGGTTTTTGACATCTTTTTCATGTTCTTGGCTCTTCAAGTCCGGCTTCCTAAAAAACAACAAAATTAAATAAGAAATGACTCAAAATGCTTTAAAAGGTAAGCTAAAGTCAATGAAATTGGTATCAGAAATTGCGCATTTCCACGGCATATCAACACCCCGAGGGTCTATTGGAAACAACCTCTCTACATGCATTAGGTAGGGGTAAGGTCTGCGTACAGACTACCCTCCCCAGACCCCACCTGTTGGGAACATACTAGGTTTGTTGTTGTTGTTGTTGTTGCTGTTGCAACGGCACATCAACACCCCCAACTTAAACTCTTGCTTGTCCTCAAGCAACTAAAGAGCTACCATACTAGTGCCAATTTACTTTATCTTTCACTTGGAAAAGTGGGTTAGTGTTTGGTAGAATTGAATAGCAAGAACTCAAGGCTTTAAACCTTGTTAATAGAATCGCTTAGGAATAAGTGAGTTCTACTTGGCATGAATTGGTTGCTCTTAATTGAAACTCTTTTATATTTGGAAAAATCATAAAGAGGAAATACTGCATAACTATTAGGAAATAATGGTAGTCATTTAGGAACCATTTGCATATCAAAGGACCTCCCATTAGAAATATATAGTATTAAAACCGATAGCACTACACTCCATAGAAGGGGACACAACCTTGGTTTCTTAATCCAATTAATCAATTCTCTTACCAAAATAGCTTCTCTTAACAATTCACAATTACCAAACTCTTTCCAAACTAACGGAGTAGAATTACGGCTTTAGTCAAGTGACACACTATTCAAAGTAACATTTTCACACCTATTCCCTGTGGGATTCGATCCCAACCTAGTTGGGTTATTATATTTGACATCGACCGTCTTACACCATTTATATAAGTGTAATTTGAGCGTATCACTTATGCTTGAATTTTTTGCACCCACTTATATGCAACTTCCACTCATTGTGATTACTCAACTGCAGGGAATGAAGAAGGTTCAAAATGATCGTTTCTCAAGGAAAAAAGAATTCAAGGTTTTTAAACCCTATGCTGCACGGACTGTCCAAATGCTGCCGCACCCGTGTCGGATCCTTCAAAAATGCACTATTTTTGGAGGATCTGACACACACCAGGCGACATTTTCGGAGAGTCTGAGCAACATAAGTTAAACCACAGTAACAGAGCTGAAGACTTAAAGAATTTTCTTGATCTATGCCCTCATGATGAATGCGGAAGTAAACTTGGGAAAACCAGAATAACAATAATCCCTTTCTGTGGATCTATGCCCTCATGGCGAATGTGGAAGCCAAGTCGATATCTATATTACTCCTAGTGCCCGGTTCAAAGAAATTACGTCTTTTCAAATTCGAACGGAGTGCAGGACGAAGGAAGACCTTCAGAGTAGTGTAGGTTATGTTAGAGAAGAAAAAATAGCAAAACCGTCGAGGTTCACCCTGAAACAAAGTAGTAAAGGAAGAGGAATTCTCTTTATGAATCACAATAGAGGGATTAAAATGGAAGTTCCATGACCAAAGAAAGGAACTGAAATCTCGCTTGAAGAAATAAGATGACAAACTTGAGTTCCGATGATTCGGTGGTTCATCACTTGGGGAGGGTGGTTGATGGATTAGAAGGATGCAGGAGATTCAGGCAATCTGAATAGAGTGATTCCCCACAAGATTGTTCGCCAGAGAAGATGCCACACAACTGCATGTGGTATCAACAACGATTGAATATGGTGAAGCTTTATAGTTTACTCCGCTGCCGCAGATGGTGGATTTCTAAAAATAGCGGACATGGTAGGAAATCTTCTTTATGTGCGAGACGAGGCTAGATAATCCTGCCAGTGAAAGAAGGATGAGACATAACTTAGTTTTGCTGGAACGATATTTCGTTGATTTTTCTTTTTTCGGAAATAAAACAAAACTAAGAGAAGGGACTTGCTAAAAAAAAAGAGAAGAATAAAAAGATGTGTTTCCAGGAATGAATCAGCTTGATTATTCCCTCAAGTTATTGGGCTTTAAATAGTGATGTACCCATGTTCTAAAGTAGGAAGGAATACAAAGAATGTATAATTACAAACTAAGAATCATCATAATTGATCCATACAGGTTCTAACTTATAATGAATCTCCCTAATTGATGTTGCCCTTTACAATACCTGAAGGGAGTAAGTGAAGTATCGACACCATATTGTGGATGCCAGGATAGCGGAAATAGTGTGAAAATTTGGTCAATCAGCAAGTTACAAGGATACACTAGAGAAGGAATAGAAAAAAAATAACCCAAAGCATTAGTGAAACATAGTGGTGGAGGTGGGATCCAAGAGAAATGCATTACTATAAGCTCCTGCATTTTCCTTCTAAGAAAGTTCATGCAAAGAAGCCTATAGCTGAGGAGTAAACAGAGGGAAACCGGATATCTAATAAGGTATTTCACGATTGGTACTAGCATGCAATGAGCTGATGAGGCGTTTCTCATCACATTAAATGAAATTAACAGAAGAGCACCTGATATACAGGGGAAAAGAATTTATGTTCTCCACATGAATATTTTGTTCCCTGCTCCAGATATCATGACATTGAAGCAGGAACTTTGCCAAGACCTTTTCAACATGACAAATACCAATCATGGATAGGGATGAGCTGAAGAAAGGGGTTCACAGCATCAAACCTCGGTGTGCCAGTGCATTCCGAAAAATGTGCAAGTCTAAAAGGCTCCAAACATTTTCAGTGATCCCATGAGACAGCGCATAATAAGCTTGTTTAGCAGCTTCTTGATGTGCTTCCAGAAGTTTTGCATCAGTAAGAAGGTTGCTGAGAGCTTCAACAAGAATGTGGCCAGAAACCTGACAGCGCAAAGAAGTCTGACAAGGATCTCAAAGAGATAAGATAAAAATCAAATTCAAAGTAAACCCACAATAAACACTTCAATATGATATTGTCTGTGTTAATCTTCCACCCCCCCCCCCCCCCCCCAAACCATAGGTTCATCAGCGCCAATTAATATAAAATGTGCAGTTGGATTCTCTGTTTTAGTAAATATTTTGCTGTTACAAATAAAAAGCTACAGTATATATTTACATATCTCAAATTCATATGGAGTACTTCACTTCAATGTACTGTACTATGTAATAAATTCAGAATTTCAGCAAAAGACAATAAACCTAGATTCTTGAAGCTTTTGTCAATCAATGGAGGCTATTGACTTAAAGGTTGTTAATCATAAGAAGTCTTGCTAGTTTTAATTTCTTAATTCATTTTCTATTATTAAATAATTTATTGAATTCTTGCATTCCCGTATTCATAGACACGGATTTTTTTAAGGGAAAAGGTCCAAATTTGCCCCTCTATTATTGTATATTGTTTAAATGTGTCTCCTGTTATACTTTTCGTCCATTTCCGCCCTACCGTTAACAAACTTTTCAGATTTTCCCCTAACCCTAACGGTCCTACACTGTAGAAGCTGACCCCTCCAATTTTTTTCCTTGTCTGCTGCCAAGTCAGATGACACTATGTCATTCACCACATAATCAGTCAAGATATGGGGCGATTCACCTGATTCCCACTATTTCAATCTATACCCGACCTATTTCCCTCCAAATCTGTTCATTTTCCATTTTTACTTCTATTTTTATTTCATTTTCTTCCTCTTTTTCTTTACATCTCTTCTTCTTCATCAAAACACCATGTCATCTCCTTCACACCATTTTCATCAGAACAAGAAAATTAAACAAACAATCTAAGCCAAAATGAAACAACATGACAATAATTGAACTTTTAAATTTTGAATTAAATTCATGTGTTCGTTACTGCTGGGTCAGATTCAAGTAAGAGATTGGGAAGCCCATTACCGAAAATTTAAAGCCTCATCCTGGGTTGGGATTTTTTGCATATGAGGTTGAATTAAACTTTAAGGATTGATTTGGTAACTGTAGTAGGATTGAAATTTTTTAAAACCCAGTTGAAATTAGCATTAAATGTGATTCATCGGCTTCACCATTGTTGAACTTTAAGAGCTCCAGATTTGAAAATTTCTTTTGAAAGCTGTGTTCTAATATTGGTTGGCAGCAGTTTGAAAAATTTGTATTAATCATGTGAGAATCATTTCTTGAATTAAGGAAAGAAAGTAAAATTAAAAAAGAAAAAATGGTTAGAAAAATAAATGAAAGATTCTGAGGGAATGAAGGGTGCTGTGGGTGATGAGGACGACGCGTGTGGTGGTGTGGGGGAGAGGTCTAAGGCAGATTAAAGTACCTTCTTTTTCACTTGTTTGTTTCTACGACTTTGCAGCTTTTTATTTTTTTAATAAGACTTAGCAGCTGACATGGAAAACAATTGGAGGGGTCAGTTGCTACAGTGTAGGGCCGTTAGGGTTAGGGGAAAATCTGAAAAGTTTGTTAACGGTAGGGGCGGAAATGGACGAAAAGTATAACGGGGGATACATGTAAACAATATACTATAGTAGAGGGGCAAATCCAGACCTTTTCCCTTTTTTTAATAACTATAAATAGGATTTTTGCAACCAGAGTAGATTGCTCTAGCGGTGAGCACCCTCCACTTCCAACCAAGAGGTTGTGAATTCGAGTCACCCCAAGAGCAAGGTGAGGAGTTCTTGGAGGGAGGGATGCCGAGGGCCTATCGGAAACTGCCTCTCTACCCCAGGGTAGGGGTAAGGTCTGCGTACACACTACCCTCCCTAGACCCCACTGGTAGGATTATACTGGGTTGTTGTTGTTGTAGGATTTCTGCAACCATGCTCTTTCCCACTTCTCATTAATGGTTATATACTGTGTTGACTCTTCCTTTTCTCCCTAACAGGTTGGTCAAGCCACTTTCTCCAATTTAGTGTTTAACAGGAAGCCTACAAATGTTGACCTTGAAATTTGACTACATAGGTCTTGCACCATTTCAACCACCCCCTTCTTAATATATTCCTGCCATCCTTCCCTTCCAATGCAAAGCATGTAAAATACACCATGAATACAGTCCTGTAGAACTCTTGTGCAAATCAACTGAGTTATACTTGTAAAAGAAAAAAGGAACACAAATCAACTGAATTATATAGATCACAGTAAGCTTCCAGACCTGTAATACTGACAAAGGATTCAACCGTTGCATCTGTATTGCCATATAAGAAAAATGACCAATATAAGGACCTGACAATTAGGCCAAAAGAAAGAACCGATATAAATATACATTATGCACCAGATAAGAATCAAACTTGGAATTCTACTACAAAATTAACCAGGCATTCCAAAGATCAAAAGCTCTATTTAAAAGAAGGGAACCAAAATCGACCAGTCAAAACAGCACAGCCTGCTGCAGCAGCTTCTGAAATATTATGACCAGCTGAACCAGGTAGAAATGAACCTCCAATCACGGCTATTGGTGTTAGTCTGTATAACTTTTTCAATTCACCTACAGAGCAGAATGACAAGAAAATCAGTGACTTTGTTTCATTTAAATTTCTGTATTAACAGGCAAAAAAAGTATTTCATCAATTAAACACTGTAGCTAATCCTCTTTTTTATGAAGTTAAGACTGCACCTAATCTTCTAGCTTATGTGGACAAACACATAATATAAGGATAGATATAATGTAGATTGTGGTATGAGGGGATAGATTTTCTCTCTTTTTTATTTTGTTTGGGGTTAGATTTTCGACCTGCTCCTCATATGCAAGCTGGCTCTACTCTGTAAACTAAGCACAAGGAAAATGTGTGAGACTCGGAAATTGGAACTTTTAGCTATTTGTACCTTGTTGAATTATGTGGATCCATGTCATATAGAAGTTTAAGCAGGTGGCGAGAGACAAGATCATTAGTTGGTGAATACAACACACCTAATAGTTACATTAGACGCATTTTTACCCACAACTTGAAAAAAGCTTATCAACAAGTAACAAACTCCAAAACTGTTTCTGATTTCTAATGTAGTTATTCCCAGTTTGTTAGAGACCTACTAAAGAATTCAGAGAAAAAGCATGACGGAGACCATTCAACTACTTCACCTACAGAAAAACAATAGTGTCACTAACTTTTTGAATGGAAATGCGGATGGTTAAAACAAGTAGATCTAAAGAGAAAATCTCTTAGTCAGCTAGCTTAAAAAATATATTAAAGCAAAAAGAGGTCAACCTAATGTATCAACCACATATATGTTTGTTCCTGGCAGGAGCTTATCATGACGAGACCTTAATGCCACCCTTACTCCCTCTTTCTCCAGTTCCTGCATAAGTTGAAGAAGAATATCATAAACCTTGCCTTGATAGAGCAAGTAATATACAAGTTCCATATTCTAAGATAAAGGTCGATAACAGCGGCCGAGGCAGGATTTTTGCTGAGGGGTTCATAAAAGAAAAAGTTAAAAAATTTAAAAGAGACTATGGCCAGTGAGAAATGAACTAGTGACCTCACAAAGGTTTTGAACCCCCTTAACCACTGAGCTATGCTTTTGGGATGTGTCAGGGGGATTCAAAATATAATATGAGGTACAAAACAAATTTTGCAGTATATATACGGTATAATTTTCTGGCGAAGGGGGTTCGGGTGAACCCCTTGCGCCCCCCTAAATTCGCCCCTGGTCGATAAAGGTCTCTTTGACATCCAATCTGTTACGCGGCGCCTTCCTGAGATTCCTTGGAAGGGCGACGTAAGGCTAGGCAACTGATGTCAGTGCAGTTGCTGTCCGCCAACTGAGGTCCCCTCCATACGCTAGACGAGATTGTCAGTGCCGTACGGAAAAACCAATGTCAAGAGCAATTGAGAGAACAGAAATGAGAATTCAGAATAAAAGAAAGCTTGATTGCATTAATGAAAGCTATTACAGAAAAGCAACGCGGTGTCGAGGGGGAGAGACACCAGTACAGAGAATTGCTTGCTTGCTAGAAAGTTTTGATTGCTTGATCCCCCCTAATAATACTTAAAAAAAAATAATCCAAAGCTACAAAACTAGACTTGACTAAGCTAGAGAAACATAACGGAAGTACGTGAAATAAAACTACTCTATATTTACAATGAAAATGACTTAGTTTTCTATAAGGCAGCAGCGGGTCCGTTGTCAGCAGCAGTGTCTTTGGCATCACGGTCTGCGCGCGCGGCGTTGTCTGCGCGCACGACGTTGTTGGCTTCTGCCTGCGGCTTGGCGCTGGCGAGGGATATCGGTGGGGCGACAGAGGCACCTGCGCGCTTGTCACTTGGCGCGGCCAAGACCACGGGGCCGTCCGTGGCGCTAGGCATTGGGAGGCTTGCTAGGACGCCTCGGGGCGCGCCCAAGGGGTCATGGGGCATGGCTGGAAAGCCGCCCATGACATTCACATGAGGACATTTTTAATGGCAAGAAAGTGGTGCATGGTCATGGTTAATAACTTAATGATGCAGTCAAGTTTAAAGTTCAAGAGAGAGATACTAGAGCAATTTGAAGAGGACATAGATGGATCATCAATACAAATAAAAGCATTTATAATAGGCTAATGCACAGTAATCATACCAAAGCAATTAGTTCCCCATGCTGAGGATGCCGAGGCACAATGATGGTAATGATATCCGGATGTATTTGCTTTAGTGCTTTGTGTACATCCAACATGACTGCATATCAATTTTGTCATAATTTTGTTCAGCAGCACAAAGTAACTTACAGTCATATTCAAGGTCATTAGACCATGAAGTAGACTCTTCACTTCTTTTCTGCTCCATCCAAAGAGCAGAAATTTACTCCTCTCAGATTGGGAAAAACTTCCTTCCCTTTCCCTTTTCAATAAGACAAACACTTGATAACCATAAAAGAGAACATCCTCACATGTATCTTTTTAGAGAAGTGATAGAGAAGTAGAACAGAATTCTCTTCCTTTTTTTATAGATAAGTTAGAAGCAGAACAACATTCTTAAGTTAGATTCAAGAAGAAACAGAGAGCAGATCACCTTAAACTTTGTTAGCTGAAGCGGGAAATCAAGGTCAATCTGAACCAATAGAAATTTTTGACTTCAGCCGTAAATGCATGACAACAGACTTGGCACAGAAACAATCAACTGGGTAGGTATCGATACCCATACATACATCTAAGTTCCTGGCCCCCAATCAAAATAAACCATCTACCAGTAATCAATTTTCTTCTGATCACTAATGCTCCGTGAGTTTTCTCTTTACTCAGTCGTATACTCATGAAGTCATGAGTGATGAGTTTGAGGGCCCAGCCCCCATGCCTAGTTCCTCTAACTCCACCTTTCCCCACTTAACCTATCCAAGACGCCTTAGAGAAAATTGAAGGTAAGGGACTAAACCACAACACATTTTGTTCACACACGTGCCTAGATGAACTCAATCTCAGACTACTACCATGGTATAACAACATAGGATACTGGGGCTTTAAGACTCTCTCATCCAACTCCCTTTCCCTCAAGATTCTTTTTGTTCCTTCATCTTGTCTTTAATACATGGAAAATATTATACATCAAGAAATTTACCTTTTTCTTCACCCTTATGAATGGAAGATGCCATCCAAACCTTTCTGTTCATAAGCTGTACCTGCAACTCTTCCAGAGCTCTCTGATCCCCTTCAGCAGTTTCAATGTTTCCTACAGCTAAATCAGGAAAAAAAAGGAAGTGAGAAGTAGGGTACAACGCCTGCTCTCTGGTAAGCAGCGGTACATGTGAAAAATATTCCTGAACCTGAAAAAGAAAGAAGCCATACGTGTATTCCTAAGCCACTAAGAAGAAACAAATAATCACGGTAAACTAAAGGATATACAAAAAACGAGTTTATTATGAAGTGCTAGTAGCTCCAATGTACATGCAAGATAATAAGATCAGGTATTTTTAGTTTTGGCCATACCATACTTTAGGTCGCCACAAAAATTTATGATGAATGGTGGACACTGCAGCAGTTGAAAACGAATTGCCTGTGTAGTGCTCTGTGTAGAAATATAAATGCAGAAGCTTAAAGGTGAGGTTATGTAAAAGATGATCACAAAAACGTCAACGAAAAAACACGAGACATACCAGTGGAAGAATCAGCAAGAATTTAGAGAGCATCAATGATGTCAGAGGAATAATAAATGGTTGTGACCAACTGTCATAAGATTTTGCAGACATTCGAGCATTAAGCAATGCAAGTGCAATCTGAGTAGCATAACGGGAGTGTAAAAGTAGAGAAAGACATATTATACCAATATACAAGTGAGTAGAATCTGAAATACAAAAAAGAAAAAAAAGAAGAACAAAAATAATTGATGCTAACCCACTAAACTAGGCATCTGAACAATAAAATAGGTTAAATGATATAGTCCTCTCATGAAAAAATAAAATAAACTTCCATTACATCAGTTACCTCATAACAGAAAAATATAAAGATGATAAAAGACAAGCCTTAGCCAAGATACGAGAAACTAAAATAGCAGATCTCTAAGTTCAGCAGCATTCATAGAATAAGATGTATATTTACCCTTTTCTTTGCGGCACCTATAACGAGGTTTGGCCAGAGCTCACTTTCAATTAAAATGATTGCATTTGGCTTCCAATAACAAACGAAAGCATCAATGGCAGCAGGAGTGTCAATGGGAGAAAACTGGTACATTTGTGGAAAAAAAAAAAGAAAAAAAAAAAGAGACATGTCAGAGGCACTCCTTCTACCTTCTAGCCTTGGTAAGAAAGACACATAAAATGTAATTGATAGTTTGCTACTATAAGTGCTTCAGTCTTGTCCATGGAACTAGGAATCTCAGGAGTGAGATTCAGAAGAAACACGTGTACAGAAAAAGAAATGCCAGAACATCATAAGAATGTTGCAAACGAACAGGGTCATTCTTCCAGTATGGCTCCGAAGAAAGGGGAAGGGTGAAAAAAATCACAGCAATAGAAAAGATCCTAGGGTCCACGAAAAATGATAATTTAAATGTGGAGGGTGAAAAAAAATAACATGAGGGGAGGAAGAAGAGCTTGTGTCTACACAGCATGATAATTGATTCTTCAAAAAAAATTAGGCTTGCAAATATTCAAAAATGTGGAATAGCAGTGCCTTGTCAGACAACTCAACTTAGTGATGTCAAGAAACGAAGCATAATACAGTCTTAAGGAAACAGCATAACAAATACCTGATAAATGACATTATTTGGAAGCTGGTGCTTTATCACCTCACTGTAAGAAAGCAAAGAATCAGATACTTAATATTCTATTTTTTCAGCAAAACAGAAAGTAGCAAAAATTTTGTGTGCAATTTTACACAAAGCTGGTTTTTTATTACCTCACTGTGGGAAAGCAAAAAGTAGAATAGACATACTGAATTTTCTCTTCAATGGAAAATGAAAAAAGAGGTGGAAGAATGTCTCTCATTCTGATGATGCAGTTTCTTACTTTCGTACAAATTAAAATTTAAAACTATAGGAAGTGAGCAAATTCCCAACACTAGTAGTACGTAAAAAGACCTTGAATTTATTTATCATGGAAATACTGAAACACAACGGAACTCGAGAAATTCCTTTTCTCCTTTGAACCCTAGACTCCTTATATTGTCTCTGTAGATCACATCTTCTGTTCAGCAATAACTATAGTGATGAAAGAAGATACAGAATGAATTCACATCTACAAACTCTTCCAGCAATGAATGAAAAACAAGTTAAAATAGGTTATGACTTAAGATACACCTCTTAGCTGTTCTATTGTGCAACACCGGACTCCCCGTAATAGCTTCACCTTCTGACTCTTGTCCAAACTTTTATATCAAGTACTTCTACATTTTCAAATATTTTTGGTTTCAGGTGCATGCTTTCATATATTTTCTTTTCAATACAATATATATAAGTCATAATGATAATACATGAGCTTTTTTTATTCTCTGGAATACAGACCGATAGCATCCAAAACGGTATTGAATCAAAAGCAATCATCTCGTGTAATGTGCACCACAATTAAAATCAACCCCGTAGATTTAAATGCTTAAAAATAAACAAATACAAGACCCTAAAGAAGATGTCCATCCCCCACACTGCTTGGTCTTTCTATCCATAAGAGTTTTCTAATCTTGGATCAGCAAAAAACATAAACTTTTGATATCAATCCAGAGATTTTTAATGTTTATTTTTCTCGATATTTTTTCCTGAGATTCTCGGGACACATATTATCCGTACAGGGCCAGATATACAACTTGCATAAATCAAAGAACTTAACCTCCCTAAACCTCCCCAAATCACAGGACCATCCTTTTCATATATCTCCATTTTATTTTAGAAAAAAAAAACTAAACGAACTTACATCCGTAAATTATAGAAAATCATTGTCAGGTGAAAAGACTAACAAAACCAATTTTCTATTAGTGGAAAATATTGCAAGAAATTTGATAGGAAATAACAAAGCAACAAACTGCAACTATCAAAATAAAATAACATTTGAACTTGGAATTCAAATTAGAGACTCACAATGCTGATGTGGTGGTAGTCGTCATTAAGACAGTTACATCAGGCCTCCTCTCTATGCAGCATTTAATCACTGGAATTGCACACATTCCTTCACCTAATTTCGCATTACAACAAACAATAATAACAATTTTAAATTAGGGAGTAAAAAAGAAAAAGAAAAAGAAACAACAAAAATAACAAATGAACCAAAAAATTGAGCAGAGTAGCTGGAAAAATGAAAAGAGAAAAATAGGCCAACATACTTCTCAATAGATTCCACGGATACATATTCTATAAATTACTAGTACATGCACAATTGCGGAAAAAATTAGTGCTTATATAAAACGATTTAAGTTATATACACTTATAGCGTAATGTAACTTTTTACACCATTAATGCAATTTAACATGTTATAGCAAGGTTACTTATCATATATTCTAGGTCATCAATCAATGTTATCAACTGAAGTTAACTGCAATTACTTGAAGCAATTACTTTTCAACTCACCTGATTGTGTAAATATTTTTTACACAGTCAATGCATAGAACTTAAAACTCTGTATAAACACACGCGAAATGTATGAATCTGTATATGTGTATGCATATGCATCTATACATACACACACTAATTCTTCTTATATATAAATTGGAGTAAGAATCAGTATAGTAAAAATGAAAGGGATAAGAAGAATGACCAAGGGAGACAGCGTGGAACCAGAGGAGAGGGCCAGGGGGACGAGGGAGAGAGGGGAATCCGAGACGCTCGCGCCAGCGGAGAGGATGTTCCAGGCCGCGGAATTTACGCCACCGCAGGTGAAGATGAATCAGCGGCGATAGGCCATAAGTTAGGGCTCTGTAAATCTTGTAAATCAATTCACCTCTTTCCCTCCTCATTTTCCCCGATACTTCTGAGCACTGTTATACTGTTGAGCTGTGAAAAATGGAATCCGCGCCCCAAATGGATAGCAAAATGAACTAAACTCCAGTAATGGGTTCTTCTTTTGTTTTTGTCTATTTCGTATGAGGAAATAACAGAAGAAACGAAGAGATAAAGCTCACCTTAGTTGAGCTGAAGAAAACGATTAAGCTAAGAGACTTTTGGAACCTTCTCTTTCACTACAGAATGAGCTAAGTTGAAGAGAGTACAAGATACTAAAATGTATTGTACAAAAAAATATCTCAGCCTATTTAGACTGTATATGCTAGTAAAAATTTTACGACGCCCCATTTAACCTATACTCATTTTTTTAAAATGTTTTAACTTGTACCTACTTTTTAAACAACTTCAGCCCCATTTTTGCTCGAACTTCTTCTTCTTCTTTCTTCTGCTGTTGTTGGTGCTCCTATGAAACTTCAGTTCATGGGATGATTGCCATAAGTATGTTTATCAGATTATTTAAAAATAAATTATAAATAATTACGTAAGTTAGTAGATAATAATTTATGAATATTTCCACGTACGAGAAGTTTAAGGTCACACTTAGTGATTCTTCTCATGATAATTCTGTTCTTTTCACGTTTATTTGTTTCCAAAATTTTATGATTTAGATACTGTTGGCAATCTGATTATTTTATAGTAGTCTGATTATAACAAAACTAATGAATCCAGGACAAAAAAACTTCAGCTTATTTAGTGCTAAAGTTTTTACAAATGAACTAAATAACTTCAGCATCTTCTGCTGAAGTTTTTGAACAAGCTTTATGACAAAACTAATGAATCCAAGACAAAAAAACTTCAGCTTATTTAGTGCTGTAGTTTTTATAAATGAACTAAATAACTTCAGCATCTTCTGCTGAAGTTTTTGAAAAAGCTTAATGACAAAATTAATGAATCCAGGACAAAAAAAAACTTCAGCTTATTTAGTGCAATTACAAACAAAAACTTCAGCAAATAGAGAACAAAACTTTAGCTACTATGCTTAAGTTCAGCAATTACAAACAAAAACTTCAGCAAATAGAGAATAAAACTTCAACTACTATGCTTAAGTTCAGCAATTACAAACAAAAACTTCAGCAAATAGAGAACAAAACTTCCGCTACTAAGTTTAAGTTCAGCAATTACAAACAAAAACTTCAACAAATAGAGAACAAAACTTCAGCTACTATGCTTAAGTTCAGCAATACAAACAAAAACTTCAGCACACTTAGTTCAGCACACTTGCTACTTCAGGGCCGTCTACTAGAATGCTGAAGTTTTGCGTGATTGCCTTTGCTACTTCAGCCCCGTATGCTGAAGTTACGCGAAAAAGTGGGTACGCTTGCAATTTTTTTTGCAAAGCGGGCACAAGTTAAAACGTGACCCAAAAAACGGGTATAGATGCAAATTCCCCTACATACTAGTAGCAGGAGGCACGTGCTAAGCCCGAGCCCAAACACAAGATATTTTTCTTAGAATTAATAATTTTATTTTAATTAAATAAGTTTAATTCGTATCACATTTTTTCACTGCATAAATAATTTAATATAGTGACACGTCAATCAAGTCTTGTTGATAAGTCTTCATAATTAAAGTTTCTTAGTCATATAATTGAATAATTTTATTAAAGAAAAAAATTATTTATGAGGAAGCAAGTTTGGCCGGAGAATTAGCAAATACCAAAGGGACACAAGTGATTCAATATTCTATAAACTAATATGATTTAAAGTGTTCAAAATAATTACAACTCGGTCAAGATCATAAATTGAAAAATATTTGGCATTTTTATGAATTTGTGAGCATATAATTTCTTTAGTTATAGATTTTTTTTTTATTATTTTATTACTTGTTCATTCATAATTTCATGTGGCACAAGTTATGTAGTTAAATGCGGGGATTTAAGCTTAGTTTTAGACGAAATTAAAAAAAAAACTAAATTTATCAAAGTGAATTAACCTTAACGATCAATTTAATTCCTTACTTTACGCTTAAAAAATCAAGTCTAAGTTACCAACCAAGAAATTTTAAGGAGATTCAATTTTGGCTGATAACGCTACCTTCATTTTCAATGTTATAACGTGACACTATCAATAATTTATACGTTTAGTATTTGTAATGCATTATAGATATTTCAAAAGCGATGGATATAATTGTTCACAAAAAGATTCAATTCAATTCAATGAGCTGAGAAAAAAAACTAATTAAATGAGAATCGTACTTGGTTCAATATGAATAATATATCACCTCTTAAAATGAGCAAAAATTAGGATAGTTTTACATTTTAACTCCTTCTCCTTTTCCTATTCTTCATCCCCAATGTAATTGACAAATTTAAAAGAATATAAAGGTTATTACTTTTTTTCTTTCATAAATGGTAATTTATTAATTCTTGAAAATGTATTCTATGCGCTCTAGGTTAAAAACAGTAAGAAAGATTATAAAAAATGACTTGCGCATGCAAAGAAAGAAAGTTCAACCAAAACCATAATTAACATAAGCTTTTGAAGACAACTCTTATTCATTAAAAGATCTTAAGTGATTTTCAAATATTTTATACCAATTATATTTCAATAAACCCATAAAATAGTAGGTTTTAATTTTGGTTAAAGTAACAAAAAAAAGGTGCATCGAGAAATTAGTAGTAGATGAGATAAATCCTCAAAAAACACGTAAAATGACAATCTCAAATAGTAACTAAAATTTTAAATAAGTATATTTCTAACATAGAAAAGCAAAATTTGTTTTAGTCCTTTAAAATCTTAACTTTTAATGTTCATGAAATTATTTACTTCAAACTCACGTTATGCTTATTATGAACTCATTTAGGATTTTAATAATATATTTTAATTCACCCGTATTAATGAAGACCCATATTTTTATCTTTTAGAATCCTCTAAATAACACCAGTAAACTTTCTTTAGTTTAGAGTCTTTACATAAATTGACCTAATATTAGTCATATAAGTATATTAATAAAAAATAATTCAAGTACATTAATAAATAAAAGATTTAGAACTACCCGAAAATAATTCTGACATGTCTTTATTAGTACATATATGAGCTCTAGAGAGAGAAGAATATGGTTAGGAACATATGACGTGGGACATGTCTAAATGTATAGCAAGACCTAACAAATTGTCCACTTGGAGAAAAAATTTGGCATATTTTGCCTAAATTTACTGAAATGTATAAGGTCAAATAATGTAAAAAGTAACGTAAGGGCAAAAAAAATCCATAGGAAGTTACATTTATCAATTTCAAAGGCCCGGGTGGGAGCGGTCTTAAGAAAAGAGTAATTTATGCAAGATATCCATTGAGTTTAAACTAATACCCTCTTTTATCAATTTAAAATTATTTATAATATATACCTATCGAAATGAAACTAATTATCCCTACCTAACAACACCCATCCCAACTTTTTTTACCCATTTGACTTAGCTTAGCTTGATTTTGCTTGGCTTTGTTTGACTTGGTTTGACTTGGCTTTGACTTGGCTTGACTTGAATTGACTTGATTAGGTTTAGCTTGGCTTGACTTGGCTTGAATTGGATTGGCTTGAATTAGCTTGGTTTATAGCAGCTTGAATTGACTTCATTTGGCTGGGTATTAAAAAAAGGGGAAGGGGCAAAGTAATGGATAGGAACGGATAAATGTTTTCCGCCTCATGGGTATTTGCTAAACTTTCCGAAAATGAGCGATGGACAAAAATGAGATATGCAGGGAAAAAGTAACTACATCAGCCACGTGTAGCAGTTTTACAACATTAAAAACAGAAAAAATAAGGTAGGACATCTTTAAGAAGTAAAATATAAAATAAAAAGTAAATTTGACTTTAAAAAATAAGGTTAGGACCTAGAAGTAATTAATTAAAAAGTTTACATTTTATTGGAAACTTTTGTGAGTACTACAAAAGTCCTTAATTCTCCCTTATTATATATAGTAATATGTGTATAGCTGTACTAACTACACTATACAAAAATAAATACGCATATTCTCAATACCCCCTCATGTAGGAAGGGAGGAACTCAAAGCCAACTTGCTAAGAAAATTGCAATGTTTGATCCATGTACGAGGCTTGGTGAATATGTCTGCTAGCTGTTCATGTGTGGAAATGTGATGTAATGAGATGAGGCCCTCGTGTAGCCGTTCCTTATAAAGTGACAGTCCACTTCTGTGTGTTTGGTACGTTCATGGATCACAAGATTCTTAGCTATGTGGAGAGCTGTTTGGCTATCACAGAAAACTGGGACAGGTAAGATTAAGGGAACTGTCAACTCTTCAAGCAGCCTAAGTAACCACACTAATTCTCCCACAGCTTGTCTGGCTGATCTGTATTCTGCTTCTGCTGAGGATAATGAAATAGTGTGTTGTTTCTTAGATTTCCAGCTAATAGGACTGTCACCTAGCAACACAACATATCCACTGACTGACTTCCTTGATTCAGGGCAGGCAGCCCAGTCTGAGTCACAAAAAGCTCGAACCCTATAGTCTTTGCTATTAGACAGAAAAATCCCTAAGCTTGGATCACATTTGAGATACCTTAGTACATGGTATGCAACTTTTAAGTGTGGTTCCCTTTGGACTTTGCATGTATTGACTCAAATGTTGTACACTATAAGATATGTCAAGCCTTGTATTGGTTAAGAAATTCAGCTTTCCTACTAGTCTTCTATAGTTGAGAAGGATCTGGTGATAAGCACCCCTCATCTGCACTCATCTTAGTAGAAGGATCAAGTGGAGAAGCTAAGGCAGAATACTTGGTGCAGTCAAACTCTGTCAATAAATCCATTGTGAATTTCCTTTGGGATATCAGTACCCTATCATATTTTTACAGAATCTCCAATCCCAGGAAATAATGTAACCTTCCCAGGTCCTTTATTTTGAAGGTTTCATGTAAAAATGCCTTCAGTGCTTCTAATTCCTGTAAATCAGTCCCTGTTATTAGGACAATCTACATAAACAGTCACAAACACCACTGAAGTCCCATGTTTCTTGTGGAATAGTGAATATTCGAGTAGGGAGTGTGTGTATCCTCTGGAACAAAGTGCTGCAGTCAACTTCTCATACCATTGCCTGCTTGCTTGTTTCAGTCCATACAAGGACTTATTCAATTTGCACATAAAATCTGGTCTGTCCACAACAAGTCCTGGAGGTACCTCCATATACACTTCCTCATGGAGGTCCCCATGGAAGAATGCATTGTTAACATCTAGTTGAAAAATCCCACA